CATCGGTTCTCTTATATGGCCACTACTAGTACACTTAGTAAAATTCAACATGCTCAACATTTTCTCCTATGTAAGCACATAATATCCTATTTACATATAATTAAGCACACTTAGAAAATAATTTGGGTATATTGGAAATGGGATGTTACACTAATGGGCAAATAAAACAAAGGAAAATGGTTAAGAAAATGATGTAATAAGGTTAATAAATTAACACTTATCACCCCCACTGTTGGAACGTCTGAATTACGAACGTTCAAACTGGATTTGAATCCAAAAATAGAGAATGAGATATCCTCTTCTTGAAGATGTCTGCATACTGAGAGCTTGAGGGGACATGGAGGATCCGAACGTGACCAATGGCAACTTAGTCACGAACAAAGTGAATATCAATCTCTATATGCTTTGTGCATTGGTGCTGAACCGGATTGGACGACATGTATACCGCACTGACATTATCACAGTAGACAATTGTGGCTTTCGTGGGCGATCGGTGGAGTTTGCAAAGTAAGTTACGAATTCAACTTGTTTCATCGACGGTGTTCGCAACTCCACCATATTCGGCTTCAGCACTAGAACGGGAGATAACATCTTGACGTTTGGATGACCAAGACACAAGATTATCTCCTAAGAAAACGCAGTATCCAAACATGGATCGTCGAGATGCCGGACATCCCCCCCAATCTGCATCAGAGTAAGCTGTAAGTTCAGATGAGGGGGATACATGAATCTGAAGGCCATGGTTTAGAGTGCTTCGAATGTATCGAAGTATGAGTTTGAGAGCATGAAAATGTGGCTCTCGAGGATCATGCATATAGAGGCAGATTTGTTGAATGGCGAACGCTATATCCGGGCGTGTGAAAGTGAGATATTGAAGAGCTCCGGCAAGCTTGCAGTACAGGGTGGGGTCACGAACGGGTGGGCCATCAGCGTTAAGCTTATGACCCGTTTCGGCCGGAGTATGCGCCGGGTTACAGTTAACCATGTTTGCGCATTCAAGGATCTGAGAGGCATACTGCTGCTGAGATAGAAATAGACCTGTAGATGATCGCGAAGCAGAAATTCCCAAAAAAATTGAGTGTCCCGAGATCCGTCATAGCGAACTCACGACCAAGTAGCGTGATGATCTGGTGAAGAAATTCTGTGGATGAGGCCGTCAAAATGATATCGTCAACATATAGAAGAAGATACGCAGTGGCCTGAGGAGAGTGGTATATAAACAGTGACGTATCAGTGCGACTGTGCTGAAACCCGAGCCGAAGGGCATACTGAGCAAACCGATGGTACCACGCACATGGGGCCTGTTTAAGGCCATCAGAGAGCGCTGAAAATGGCACACGTGATCCGGGAAATGTGGATCTTGGAAGCCCGGTGGCTGATGCATGTATATAGTCTCTTGAAGGTGACCGTGAAGAAACGCATTCTTCACGTCTAGCTGATGGATCGGCCAGTGTAGAGAGACCGCAATACTGAGGACAGTACGAATGGTGGCCAGTTTTACAACCAGACTAAAAGTTTCATCACAGTCTATCTCCTGCTGTTGACTGTGACCATTGGCCACCAAACGGGCCTTGTAGCGAGAAAGTGAGCCATCTGCATTAAACTTGTGGCGAAAGAGCCACATGGACCAAACTACGTTGACCCCGGGGGATCAAGGGACAAGTTTCCAAGTCATGTTACCGAGAAGAGCATGATATTCCTCGTCCATGGCCTTTCGCCAGTGAGGATCATGTAATGTCTATAAATGGGACCGGGGTAACGGAGTGATGGAGGTGGTATGAAGATTGAGTCGCTGAGTGGGTTTAATGATACCACTTTTAGCTCGGGTCATTATGAGGTGAGACGAGCAAGTAGTGGATGGAATTGCACTCGACGGAGGAGAGGGAGGGGGTGAGTGGTGCCATCAGTGTGGGCCGAGGCATGAGGTGGGGAGTGAGGGGCGGTCATAGGTGGGATAGGCAGCGCGTGATGGGTGGCTGGACTAGTGGGGGTAGGTTCGACCGTAGGAGGGGTTGGTGGGGTGGGATGTGGATCGAGAATGTCATGCATAATGGGAGAGGGCTCAGATGGGTCGTCGAGAAAAGAGTAAGAAGGAGGTTTGTCAGAGTGACCGAGCCAAACGAAAGAATTGTCTCATTAAAGACAACGTGACAAGAAATGATGATGCGTTTGGTGGAGAGGTCGAGGCACCGAAATCCCCTATGATGAGATGGGTAGCCAAGGAAGACATAAGGAGAGCTCCTAGGGGCTAATTTGTGAGAGGTGGTGAGGTGAGGGTAGCAAAGACAGCCAAATATGTGGAGATGAGAGTAGGAAGGATGTTTTTGAAACAACTGGTAGTGAGGTGTTTCAAAGTTGATGGTTGTGGAGGGAAGGGTGCGAACCACATTGTTGATGGTTCGGAGCATACATTCCGATTTTCCGTTTTGTTGGGACGTGTGAGGACATGAGAAACGAAATTGGATACCTTGGAAGACAAAAAAGGTTGTGAAATAATTGATTATTATATTCACCACTGTTGTCGCATTGGAAAATTTTAATGGTTGCGTTAAATTGAGTTTTAACAAGATGGAAAAATTCATGAAATTTATTGAAAACGTCATACTTATGTTTGAGAGGATAAACCCACAAGTAATGAGTAAAGTGATCTAAGAAAATAACATAGTAACGCAATCTACTAATGCTAGAGATGGGTGACGTCCAAACATCGGAGTGAATTATTTCAAAAGCATGAGAAACATCGGAATTAGAAACGAAAAACGGAAGCTTAACATGTTTTCCAAGTTGACAAGAATTGCAAATAACACTAGTTCTATCACTATGACAAGAAATAAAATTATTTGAAACTAATGATTTCAAGACTTGATCGTTGGGGTGACCGAGCCGTTGATGCCATGTAGAGTGAGCTATCGAGAGAAACACTTGAGGGTTGGAGGGGTTGACCGGGTAGAGGGGACCGTCGCTATCACATCGGATTAGAGGGTGTCGGGTCTTGTAGTCCTTAACAGTAAAACCAAAACTGTCAAACTCAATAGAAGTTTTATTTTGTTGAGTAAGTTGACGAACAGATATGAGATTTTTGATAATAGTGGGAGATATGAGGATATGTCTAAGATGCAAAGGATGGTACGGGTTTGTGATTGGAAAAGGGGCATGTCCGGTGTGCATTACAGGCATTTTGGATCCATTACCGACAAGGATAGAATGAGTATCATGAGTTTCAAGAACAGATTTTAGAATACTTGAGTTTGCGTGGACGTGGTCGGTTGCCCCGGTGTCCATGTACCAATCTGTGAAGCCCGGGTTGTTTAGAGACATCGAGTTGAACAACTCCAGGACAGACGTAGCTTGATCCAGTGTGGCCCAAGTCCACGGGGGAGTGGCGGCGGCAGTCGATTGGCTGTTGCCTATAGCGGCAGAAAAGTGGACAGCCGGGCTGTATGGCGGTGGCGTTTGCCACGGTTGAGCGGGCCGGTTGTGGCGGGCTGGTTTTTGGCAACGGGGCAGCGGGAGATGGACCGAGCAGCCCAGCAGTTGGCTGCTGCTAGTAGGCGTGTGGCTGTTGTTTTTGGCGTGGCTGGTTCGACTGACTCGACAGCGGTGGCGGGATGTACACCCAACCATAGGCGTGGCTGGTGTGGCGGCTGTCGGTGGCGACCTTTCTGCTGGCGGCAGTCGTTCCGGCAGCCAATCCCACAATTTCCTTCGTTATTGTTCACGTGGAAGACGGTGGACGATGAGGAATGGTTGGTGTGAGGCATAACGGGTGTTGGGCGTATTTGAGCCATTCTTTGTTCTTCCAAAAGAAGCATGGAACGAGCTTCAATAAAGGTTGGAAGAGGAGAACGGTACCTTATGATATTGGCCACTGAATCAAACTTCGAGGAGAGCCCGTTGATTGTGTAGATCACAAGGTGTTTGTCGGGTATTGTGGAGTCCGGATCGAGATTTGCAAGCAGGTCAGCAAGTCCCTTGATTTTGGTGCAATAGGCGGTGACGGAGAGATCGCCCATCACAATGTTGCGTAGCTCGCTATCGATTTGCATGGATTTGGCGTTTTTGTTGTCACGGAAGAAAGTCTCGAGATTGTTCCATACTTGAAGCGCGGTCGAGTCTTTCTTCAACACCATTTAGAGAAGGGATTGCGAGATCGATCCGTAAATCTAAAGTTTTACGATTGAATCCACATTTTTCCATTTTGCATCTGTGGGTTTAGGAGTAGAGTCGTCGATGTGATCGATGACGTCAAAGGAAATACAATGGGTGGAGAAAAGTTCTCTCCACGCATCATAATTGAGACGTTCGAGTTCAAGAATGAGAGAAACGTAGGTTTTGATATTCGTTATACTGAAAACCTTATTTGGGGGAGTGTGATTATCGGACATGTTTGAAGAAAGACAAGAACGCTTGAGGAGGAGGAGGAGGAGGTGGCGATAGGAGGCGTGGCCGGCCCTAGATCGCCGAAAGAGAGAAAGAAGGGAGGAGGTTGAGAGGAATTAGGAAGGGATCCTAATTTTGCTCTGATACCATATTAGAGAGAATAATTTTCTTAATTCATTAAGCAAAATACAATCAATCATTTAAATATACAATAGATGGGCCATGGGCCAAACGCTATATGGGCTAATAACTAAGCCTAATATACAATGTGATCTGCTAACAAATATAATATAATTAATTTTGCACTATAATTTCTACCATTTGGTTTGTTTGGTTTCCAACCATGGTTATAGATTTCAAATAGGGTCATCCAAAGAAAGACAACCCTATGAGGCAAACCCCATTATTTGACACAAATGCATCCAATCCATATTTTTTATACACTTCATTTTGTTCAAATCTTTTAACTCTTCACCAACATCTTAATACCTAATTCTCATGGTGCCACCTCAAACACTCATGGTTCTTCTTTTAATATATGTTCAAATCTTTCAACTCTTCACCAATATGGGATATCTCAAACTCAATCACAATTAACCAGCCCTTCAAATCTTCGGCATCGTTCAAGCTATTATGGATAAATACATTGAAAAAAAATCGACAGCATTGAGAAGATTAAAATGGTTTATAGTGACAATCGGAGTTCGAGTTCGGGAAGTGAATAAATTAACCAAAGTGAATGCCTTGTTAATGGATTAATATTTTATTAGACTCGTTTTAATCAAAGTTATGTTCATATGATGTGTTGTGTTTTTTGTAGTTCATATTGCGTTGATAACTTTTTCTTTAATTATTAATACGTACTTAATTCACATGTTCAAATGGAAGTACATGCACGACCCATTTTCATATTGCGTTGATAACTTTTTCTTTAATTATTAATACGTACTTAATTCACATGTTCAAATGGAAGTACATGCACGACCCATTTTCATATTGTCATATTACCGACTTTTATGAATCATGAACCATTGCAGGGGCGGATACAGCTTAAGCTGGTTGGGGTCCTGGGCCCCCAACAAAAAATAAATAGGAAAGCCCAAAAAAAAAATTACTTGTATTTTTTTAGATGTAATTGGGCCCCCAACAATATGAGGTAGGAGGCCCCTTTGAATTGCAGGAAACGAGCCTGTGAAGAGTGAAGACGTGAAGCAGCGGTGAAGTGGGTTTCGTGTGAAGACATATCACATACGCATACGGCAGCATACCGAATCGATTAGA